AAATTTTTCTAAAAAGACACCATTTTTAAATGCAAATTTTGATCATGTATTAGAGAGACAATTGATGAATCTAATTTTTTTCAGTAGACCTAAGATGAAATAATGATATACAATTAAAATTTTTACTCGGGATTTCGGGCCACAGTCTTTATTTTACCTCCAAAAATCACTAACTTACAAGTCAATAATTTTGAACAAAATTGGATAAATGAGGCATTTCTTGAGATAATCGAGTCTTAAGAGTCTATTTTTGGATTCCTCAAGTTAAAATCTATTAGAGTACCAAATTTTAGGAAATTTCCCTAAGCCATTATGAAGATACTATATGTCAAAGTTGCTTTGTAGTCACTTCAGAAAATCACTAAAATGCTGAGTCAGCATTATTTCAAGTGACAATATCTACCGAACCCATTGGTATTTTTAACTAAAATTTTCGCAGTTATTATTTTTTTGATATGGACTGCAAGTGGTGTAAAAATAAAAAAATTCTGAGACGTAAGGGTGTCGAAAATTATTTTTTTTGGATGATTTCATATATTTTTACCCATATATATACACACATATATAAAAAACTTATTTGAAAATAGCATTATATTTAAGCATTGTATTCAAAAATTGTCAAATATAAATTCATATGACTTAGAAAAAACAACTGTACTTATATACATCTAATATTTTCTCGCAAAAAAAATAATGATCCAAATAAGAAAAATTTCTAAATTAATGCAAAAATTATTTTTCAATATTTAGTAGGGCCACCATTTGCCAGAATAATTGCTTGCAGATCCATTTCACTAGAGATTTTGTTTTTTCTGGAGTTATTTTCTCCTTTGCTTCAACTATAGCTGGTTTTAAATAATTTTGTCTTATGTGTAAACTCAATTTCCAATTTCCTGGTCTAGAATACCACAAATACTGAATCAAATTAAGGTCAGGGGACTGGGAAGGCCATTCCATCACTATATCATTGTTTTGAAAATATTTCTTTGTTGTTATGACAGAATGTCTTGTTGAAAAACAAAGTTATTTCCGAATCTAAATTTACAAGCAGAGGGCTTCAAAATTTGCTTTAAAATATCTATATATGAGTTGGCATTCAATTTGCCAGCTCCTTGCCATGCCATTGATCTCCACACAATGACGCTTCCACCATCGTGTTTTACTGTTCCTCTCATGCAACTCAATTTGTATGCATCACTTTGTTTTCACCAAACTTTTTGCTGTTTATCTGATGAGATCAGGTTAAATGTAGATTCATCACTCCAAATTACTTTCTTCCAGTAATCAATAGTCTTGTCAACATTTTTTACAAATAGTAATCTTTTTCTCATATGTCTTAGAGTCAAATAAGGTTTTTTATGACATACTCTACCATGAAATTCATGCTCTCGGATTCTATTTTAGATAGTTTGAGCTAAAGTCATGGTTTTATGATTTTAACTTTGTCTGAATTTTTTGTCTGAAATCTTTTGAGCAGCTTTAAATCTGTTTTGCTTGACTTGTAGAATAATGTTTCTATAAATGACAGCAGATGTTTTTCTTTTACGGCCTCTTCATGCACAAGTACATATAAAAATCTTCATTATAATAGTACTTTTTAAAAAACATGAGTAAAGGGATAAGTTAAAAAGGTACTATCAAATAGTTGAGGTACTATCAAATAGTTTTTTTTATAAGTTCATCAAAAGGTTTTGACTACTTGTTTTGTAGAACTTCAAATAGTTTTTTACATTGCTAGGTTGTCAAGATATTCCTACACATGTTAAATTATGTTCGATATAAATATGGGATTTGGTGGGGCCAGGATATTTTGGATAAAACTTTTTTACTATCTCACTCAAATAAGCAGTAGGTTTCAAGAATTTAAAAATATGTTTCGAGTTGTTTAAAAATAAGTTTATCCTTAAAAATGGTTTCAAGTTGTTTAAAAATAAAGTTTCAAGTTGTTTAAAATTAAGTTTATCCTTAAAAAAATACCAATCAAAAGTTTTGATAATAATACCTAATTTGCTATTTGCTCTTGAATCTGCTGATCTGGTCTGCATAATGCAATTTAAATTGTCTGTTATTAAAACTTCTTATTTTCCTAATAGGTTTCTTGATAATTTGATCCTAATGTTATCAATAGTTGCATAATAATCAAATATGAAATATATTTGTCCATTTAACTAATCAATGTCATTTTTCATAACACAGTGAATAATTAAAGTTGTAACAAGTTTATTATATCTGATCTAATTTAATTTGATCCTATTGTTGATTATTTTGAATTTAATGCAGTATGATGATAATTTTGATAACAAATGATCACATGAAACTTGATAAAATACAACTTTTGAAGTTTTTGTTTTTTAACAACTTAATTTCCAACAAGGCTGCAAGCAACCTTATATTTTGGAGCTTACTAGAAGAGAAAAGATGCCTGTAGATCAAGATAAAGATTGACAGTCGACTTAAAAGATTGTAAGTTATACGAATTAGGAAAACAAGATAAAGGACGAAATTCCTAAGAACTGATGTTCAAGGAAAAGCTAAAAGAATAAGAGTTTTTAGAGCACTTAGGAACAGTCACATTTAAAGATTGAGACTTAATTGAATGATGAGTAACACAAGGAATGAATTTTAGTAGAAGACACAAGAGATGCTAGCTCTCTAGAGCAGTGCCCATTATAGTATTTATAAAAAAGAGAAAGAGAAGCAACATTACTACAATGTGATAATAGTTGGAGGTTGGCTGCAAGAGCAGGTCTAAATATGTTTATAATGCATTTTTGAATCTTGTTTAAAAGAAAAAGAGCATTATTGGAAGATCCGCCCCAAATATTGCAACAGTATTCCATACAAGGACAGATTTGAGATTTATAGAGATAGAGAATAGAATCTGGAGTAAGAAAGCGTCGAGCTCGATAAAGAGGTGCTAATTTTGCAACGGATTTGATATATGGTTTTCAAGAAAGATCCAAAGTAAGAGTAAGATGAAGGGTAGATGACTCATTGAGTGCATTACCCTTCATAAAAATGGGAAGATCTAGATTGTTAATCCTAGAAGATAAAGGGTAGATGACTCATTGAGTACATTACCATTCATAAATATGGGAAGATCTAGATTGTTCTGATAGCGATAACCTGAAATTTTTTTTTATCCGAATCAGAGTTTACCAGCTACTGTGAGCCCCATGCTGTAGCAGGAGTAAGATCTTTTTCAAGCTAAAATGTCACCTCTAAGCAATTAGAGAGTGTTGGCTTCTTATCAAGACAAAAATAAATGGTAGTATCATCAGCGAACAATGCCACCTTAGATGCAAGAATTTCTAGAAGATTAGTAATTTAAATTAAATAAAGTATAAAGCCAAAGATAGACGAGTCAGATTGCTCTCTTGAGTTTTTGAAAATAGGGATAACAGATGTTCCTTTCCAGAAGGAAAGCAAGACTCTGATAAGCACTTGTTAAATAGTTTTGAAAGTATAGACGACAGCTCCGGAGAACACTTCTGGAAGACTATAGTTGGTATTTTGTCTGGACCACAAGCTGTAAAAAAGTCTAAGCAATAAATTGCTTTAGATACAGAAGCAGGAGTGATACTAGTGTCAAGCACTAGATCAACCTATTTGTCAGCTCTATAATGTAGAATGCAACTAGTGGAATCATCAGATGATATTGATGAAAAGTTCTTAGCAAAAAATGCAGCTTTGTCTTTAGGAGAGATAGCAAAATCTGAACTATACAAGAGAGGTGGATTTGCCTTTATTATAGATACTGCTAAACACTCCAGAAGTCATGAGAGCCTAATTTTTGAGATGAAATACAAGATTTTGTGACTTGATAATAGTGGGCTTTGGCATTAGACGAAACCTTTTTACAATTGTTTCTAGCAGTAGTAACAAGTTTGTTTTCTGGAGAATTGTTTTGCTGATATATATGGAAATAATGATTTCGATTGGAAATTACTGCAGCTCAATGTGAAGAAAACAATGAAGATTAGTGATGCTTGACTTGCAATATTCTAGAGGGAATAAAAGATTCCATGCCAGCCAACTTAAAATGTTAAGGGTTACTATGTCTAAGTAGTTTAACAGCTTTGTTGTACATTTTCTACCTTTTCTATTGTCATGTTGATGAATAATAAAAAATTTATTGGAGTCTAAAAAGATTAACATTCAGGTTAGCACCAATTTGTTTTAAGATTTAAGTGTGTTTCTTTTTATTTTGAAAAGAAAAGTTACATTTGCTTCTTTTTATTCTTTTGGAATTAAACCACTTTAAAATATAATGATAAACTTATACTCTTTGCTGCAATGCTTCAGTAATTCTAAATTTATGTTATACAGTTTTTTACTAGTTCTTTTAAGACATACTACGTCAAAATTAGTTTGACATCTGATATTGAATTCTGGTAGTGGGCCTATGCTACTATCTTCATTTTCAATTGCTTTAATATTGCTTTGAGCTATTGGTTTGCTCCTTATATATTTATACAAAACATCTGTATCACTTGTTTTATTTCCAACTGACTTTTAATCCTTTTTTATTGCAAATTTGGTTTTTTTTAATAAATTAAATTTATATCAAATCATCTTTTCTTATTGTTAATTACCTAGGAACTTTTTTGTTGTCCATAAGCTTTTTTCTTATATGATGTGAAAGATTTTATAACAATCATTTATGAAATTTTCTATAAATGGTGCATTGTAATAGTCATAATAATAGTAATATTCAACTGATATTTACCAATTATCAATTAGTCACTTCTCGTGTACTTTTTTTGGTTGTTGTTTACAATTTAATTTATATATATATATATATATATATATATATATATATATATATATATATATATATATATATATATATATATATACATACATATATATATATATATATATATATATATATATATATATATATATATATATATATATATATATATATAATATATATATATATATATATATATATATATATATATAACTTTATTAATAAATAATATTTTATTATAAAGAGCCAAGTTTTAGATATCCCAGAAGTTCAAAATGCTATAAAGAAAAGGAAAAAGAAAAAAAAAGTAAGATTGGTGTCATTTTAATTTTTTTTTTTTTTTTTTTTTTTTTTATAATTTACTTGATTTTAATCATATTTATAGATAAATTTATTTATTTTTTAAATGACCGTCAAGTTTTATGTTTGATGTATTTTATTATGTTCGATAAATAAGATTTTAATAATCTTATTTGATAAATAAAGTTCCAATGATTATATCTGATAATGATTATATCCAACAAACGAGACACTGTGAACCAATGAGACCACCAGGTTTTATTTTTAAACATAAAAGTATTTGTCCTGTAGGTTTAGAAAAATAATTTTTTTAAACTTAAAAAAATGCGAAAATGGGACACAAGGGTAAGTCTGAGAGGGTTTTTATCCTATTTAAAAAGTAGGGAGTCATTTTTTTAATTCTATAATATTTTAATATTAAATTTATTGCTGCTCCTGCTGCTGCCCCTACTCATTCGTACATGTTTGCACAAAACTCACAGCAACTATTATACACAAGTTAATGGCAAAAAAGAGTTGCACTTTTTGTATAAGAAAATGTGAACAAAACTGTTAGTGTAAATTGTAAAGTGGTTAGATTGTTGCGCTTCCGAAGTTCAACGAGATAGTTCAAATCTTCTTGCTTGCACATAAATTTTTATGCTAATAGTAGTTTTTTCTTACCTGAGAAATATATTAGTTTAGTTAGGGGGTAAATTATGTAAAATCTAATAATTACTTTAAAATTATTCCAATTGAAAATTATATCTTTATTTGGTAAAATTTTCATTAAGGAAATTGTGTACCTTGAACTAGATTTTTTCAATGCTTAAATTCAAGACTTTAAACTCTAAAAATTGTGAAACTGTATATTATGCAAATTATGTAAAATCTTATCTAATAGTTACTTTAAAATTATTCCAATTGAAAATTATATCTTTATTTGGTAAAATTTTCATTAAGGAAATTGTGTACCTTGAACTAGATTTTTTCAATGCTTAAATTCAAGACTTTAAACTCTAAAAATTGTGAAACTGTATACCTCTGAATACCTCTAAAATACTTTTATTATAAGTATAATGACTTAATTTATAGAAGTCCGTCCATATAAAATTATTTAAAAGTTATTCGCTCTAAGTAAAATAAACTTTTTAAAATTTGTACCTAGCCTATTTATTAATTTATAAGCTATTAATTTAATTAATTTAGAAGCCATTATACCTAGGGCCGCTTTTAATTAATTAAAAAAAAATTTAAATTTAATTAAAAAATTAAATTTAACTCCATAATTAATTGACAACAAAGGTAGACACATAAATTTGAGTAAAAATTTATTTAATCTTAGATTATTCTATAATTAGATTAATCTTAAATTGTTTTCAACAATTTTATCTAGTGTTACTTGATTGCAGCAATTAAATAATAAAATTGACTAATAGTTCTGAGCAAAATTGATAAACAAGTCTACGCATAAAATGGTAATCTCAAAACAACTGTGAGAAATATTCTGCACCAATCAAAATTCAACTATCAACCTTATTATGAAACATATTATTTATGAAAGAAATGCAGATCTAGGTACAAGCAAACTATATAGCTCTAGGTACAAACAAACTATATAGCTCTAGGTACAAGCAAACTATATAGCTCTAGGTTCAAGCAAACTATATAGCTCTAGGTACAAACAAACTTTATAGCTCTAGGTTCAAGCAAACTATATAGCTCTAGATACAAACAAACTATATAGCTCTAGGTACAAGCAAACTATATAGCTCTAGGTTCAAGCAAACTATATAGCTCTAGGTACAAACAAACTATATAGCTCTAGGTACAAGCAAACTATATAGCTCTAGGTACAAGCAAACTTTATAGCTCTAGGTTCAAGCAAACTATATAGCTCTAGGTACAAACAAACTATATAGCTCTAGGTTCAAGCAAACTGTATAGCTCTAGGTACAAACAAACTATATAGCTCTAGGTTCAAGCAAACTGTATAGCTCTAGGTTTAAGCAAACTATATAGCTCTAGGTTCAAGCAAACTGTATAGCTCTAGGTTCAAGCAAACTATATAGCTCTAGGTTCAAGCAAACTATATAGCTCTAGGTACAAGCAAACTATATAGCTTTAGGTACAAAACTTAATATGAATGTAAAAGACTTAATAGCCTTATTAAAAATGTCATCTATTAAAAAACTTATTGATTAAAAAACTTATCGAATATTTCATTTAGTACTTTGGTAACATACAATATAATACGCAAGAACCTGTAGATAAGCATTTCCTATTGTAAAACAATTTTTTTTGATTGTAAAATACTCTAAAATACCGGTGGAAAAAATTTCTTTAGGCTATCAGAAAGCATTTTCTGATTATAACCCCCCCCCCTCTCTCTCTCTCTCTCTTATACCTTGTGCTTCTTTGCGGTAAGGGGGGGGGGGCAAAGTTGCGTTAGTATATAATTGTAACTTTTGTACGTAATTGTTCTACTTTAATACATTATCCCTATATTTGAATATAATCTTATAATTTTCTTGTTTGGTAGAGTTTAAGATAGCGTAAGTTACAGTTATTATTTACAACTTAAGTTATAACTTAAAGTTTAAGTTGCAGTTGTAATAAGCAATAACGTTTTTAATACTATTAAGATATTTCTATAAGTATATTTTTACTTAACATGATACTTAAAAAAGTAAAAGTAAAAAAGTAAGAGAAAAAGCAACATTGCAATATCTAAACCACTTTAATTAGTCAAAGAAAACTATTTATTACGTTCATGCTGGCGTTAGAACACTTGTTAATTTTAAAAAGTATTTAATTGTTAAAAGCTATAAAACAACATTAAAACAAACTGCAAAGTTGTTTTAAAAATATAAAGAGCTTGGGTTAATGTAAAACAAATTCGTGACGCTGTTTCGTGTTGATTTATACAATTTATAAAATAAAACGAGTTAAAATAAAAAGAAGCAAATAAATAAAATTGATCTAGTTAATAAACTAAAACAAAACTTCATATTTGCGCTTATAGACCTATACAAGTTTATAATATATGGAACAAACGAGTAAGATCAAAGCATAAAAACATTAGATACCACGTCTTTTATAAATTATCGTTTCCTGATCAAGCGTACAATTAAAAATTTAAGTATAATTAAGTTTTTCATTCAAATGGTTTTTAAACTGATGTTTTCATTCAATTTTTTTTTATTCCAATTGTTTTCCAAAAAAAAGTGAAACAAAAAATTTTGTTTAATAAATCGAATTATATCAAGTATAAGAATATGCTTAAATTATTTTTTTAGAAAAAAATTTTTTCGAACAGAAGTAAAATAGTTTATTAAATTTAATTTAAAATTTTTATAATTTTGATTTTAACTTGCAATTTGCAATCACTGCTTTGATGTTTGCAATAGAATGTTTACTTTTAAAACTATTTTCAAGAAAAAATATATAATTCAAAACGTTAAAAAAATTTACGATTTAAGAAAAGAAAACTTTCTTCTTTTCTCCCTTGTTTCATCAACTTTTTTTTAAATTATTAAATTTTTTTTAAATTTCAAATTTCTATCACAAAATTATTTGAATAAGTGAATTTTAAGGCTAAAGTTCTCTTGTTAAATTGATTTTTTTTTAAATAAAATTCTTGAAAACAGTTGCGTATTTATAGAAAATGTTTATTTTAGATGTCGCTATAAATAAAATGAAAATATAAAAAAAATGGTGTCGTGTTTTTCATATTCTATTCAACAATTTTTGTTAAAATAGTTATTAGTTGAAAGCTTATATTATGTGTTAACAACATTTGAGATCTAAATTGAAACATGTCTATGGCTAACTTTTGCGAGTATATTAAGTAAATTAATATAATTTTTAAATTAATACTTGAGTAACTGTAAGTTACTATCTTAACTTAACTGGTTGTTTTGATTTAGGTAATAAGTTAATTTACTCTATCCATTTAGTAAAGTTAACTAAATATAACTTCAATAGTTTCAAGGTCGTTAAAGCGAAAAAGGTGAAAGCAAAAAAGTTGCTGGTTTCTATTAGTACAATTTTACTAATAGAAATTTTATTTAATAAAAACGAATTTATATATATTTTATTATACTCAAAGTAGTAAAAATAATTATATAAAATTGTTTATAAAATGATAAATTAAATCATTATTATTAAGTTAATTTGGAGCAACGTTTCTTTTAAAAAAAGATAAAAATGCTATAACTTTTTGTTAAAGAAATAGAATGAAGAAAAAATTATTTTTAACTTTTGTCTTTTTAATTTGCTTCTACTCAGAGGTTTAAAGTAGTTTAAATTAAAAAGTGCTTTACGTTGAATAAAAATCTCTGCGCGAAAGAGAAAATGATCATGATTCTATTCAAAAGCAAATGATCATGCTTCTATTCAAAAGACAAACTTTGCGTGACGTACTTTACTATGAAAACATTACTTTTAAGAAATGCCAAAAAAAAAAGCTAAATTAAAAAATAGTAAATAAACAACTAAAAAAGTAAACCAAACGCGAAAATATATGTTTTAAGAAAAAACTAATCGCGAAGGTGTAAAAAGCAATTGTGATTCACAATCGCGATAATTTTACGCGATAACGCTTAATTCGAGCCCTGATATATATATATATATATATATATATATATATATATATATATATATATATATATACATATATACACATATATATACATATATATATGTATATATATACATATATATACATATATATACATATATATACATATATATACATATATATATATATATATATATATATATATATATATATATATATATATATATATATATATATATATATATATATGTGTATATATATACATATATGTATACATATATATATACATATATATAACCATATATATATGTGTGTGTGTTTGTATGTATGTATAATACATATGTATGCTTTAAAACATATGCGACAATTGTTTTTATTTTAATCAGTTATTATTGTTTTAATTTTAGAAAAAGAAGCTAGAAGAAACATCAGATAAAAATCAAGAAGTTGATTCAACTAGAGAAGCTTATATTGCCTCTAATAAAGAAGATGAGCGAATTATTGCGTCACTTGGTAAAAAGCTTAAAGTGAAAGCACAGCCAAACTTGAAATCACTTTTTCAAGATGATGGGTTGGATTGTATCTTTTCAATTATAATTAAATTTTTAATTATGAGATTCTTTTTAAATAAATATTTACTTGATTAAAAGATGGGTAACTCCATGTAAAAGGAGAATCAAAGCTTTTTTAGCAAACTTATCATATTTTGTGTATAAAAATTTCTTATCTGCTTTTTCCTATATATATGGAATTATAATAGAAATCACCAGGAATACGCTATTGATCATACTTCATATAAATTTCATCATCTTTAAAAATTCAGAAATTTTTAGAAATATAGTTGTCATACAACTTTCTTCAGGGGTGTCTTACTTTATTTTTGCATTTCAGAACAGTTAGGCACTTTTTGTGATTTGAAAGCTTGAAAAACATGTTTATATCAAACTTTTATGCCAAAGTCTAAATATTTCTAAGTTAAACAATATTGTTATATAAACAATTATAAATAAAATTTAAATGCTGTTTGAAAAAAAAAATTCCTTTTTTAAATAAACCTTTACACCCTATTTGTTTCTTAAAACATTCATAACACAACACACAATCGTCTTATGTTTCCTTGTTCACAATTTAGTTTGTTTTTTTTTTAATGTGTGGGGCAATCGTTTATTGGTGAGTTTCTTAACATTAAAAAAACTATTAACAATTTTTTTTTTAACATTTTTGCTTTAACAAAATTTTCACCTACTAAACATAAGCTAGTTAATCATTTCTAATCGACATTTATTCTTTGATCAATCTAAAAAATTAATGATAATGAAAAATATTTTGTTAAAAAGCAATTTTAAAACTAAAATTTAAAAAAATCATCTTTTCATAAATTGGTTAAAAAAAGATTGCCAAAATAATATTACCTACAGGCTTGATTATGGTTTATCTGGCAATGCATTTCTATACAGTTATAAGCATTAAGGATTTTTGTATATTATACTTTTGTAACGAGATGAAAAAGATTTATTGGTTCAAAACTTCAAATAACAAGGATGTAATATGATGTAGGTAATAAACTTAATTTTAATTTGAAGTATATTATTACAGAGTTTTGAATTCATTTTCCTTTATTTAATAAGATATTCTTGAGGTTGCTGAACCTTTAACTGGTATAACTGATGCTCATAGCTCAGATGAAGAATATATTGCAATGAAAAATACTACTCAGGTAATTATTTTGTAAAATACAATAAATAAGCTTGTGTGTAATAAGAAGAATATATAAAACTGTTGAAGTTTTTATAACAATAAAAAAGTGTATTTAGTAACATTTATACATACATTTAACTTGTATAGAGTATAGATTCATAAATCTAAAGTGTTTGTTTTGAAAAGAAATTTTTAAAAATAAGTTGTTTAAGTTTACCAAAAAGAACTATTTCAAAAAATATAGCAAAAAAAAAAAAGTTTTTTTTTTCTCTTCTTTAATTTGTCTAAATCAGTTCTTCTAGAGCTGGGTTTTTTTATCTGATTTATAATATTTTATGTCTCTAATTAAGCAGAAAAAACAAATTAAATTTTGCTTTTCCGTTTAAAAGCAAGAGCACCTACTATTGAAGTTTTATTATTTGTTTGTTTTTTTATATTACTTTAATAATGTGGATATATATAACCCCTAGAAATATTGTTTTATATAAAAAGAAATACTTATAAGGATAAAGTTAATTTATCATTAACAAAAGTTTTTAATTAAATTTTATCACAAAACCTAATTATTATTAATTTTAATTGATTTTAAACTTTAAATTAAACCTAAATCCTTACAAACTAAGTATTTAAAATAATAATAATACTCATTGTTATAAGAAAGAATATGTTGTATTTATTGTTTTCTAATACCATATATTCCTTCAATCTTATCAACTTCATTGAATTTTTTTTTTATTTAGGCATTTTTTTATTTTAATAAATTATTTATAATATATTTTATATAAATTTTTGTTTGATCGAAATACTATCATTTGAAAACCATTTGAGTTTTTCTTTAAAATTATTGAAAAATTTTATAAGTTCATTTTTAAAATATTACAATAACTACCAATTATATTTTATTTTGCAAAGGGAATAATTTTTTATGATTAAGTTTTATATGATATGTAATTATATAAAAGTTTTATAATAACATTTTATTTTAATTTTATTATTTTCTAAAGTATTAGGATTGTGTAAATCTAAATTCTTAAAATAAACATTTAGTTGTAATAAAACTATAAATATTTTTTTGCTAAAAGCAATTAATTTAAACATTCTCATGCTTATTTCCATAGTCACTACATAATTGATTTTTATTACCTTGTTTAATTTTACATGAATCTTCTAGCATTTAAAAAGAGTTCCCATATATTTTATATATATATTTTTTTGTATATTAACCCTTCGTATCGCCATGTGACAGATCTGTCACAAACCTATTCAATGCTCACAAAATCCAGTTTAAGCATTTTAATTCATTATAAATCATTGTAACAATACTGATACATACTGTTCTCTGATATTTAGTTTTATTTACATGAAAAAATAAAATTTCAAAAAACTGTGTTTACTTATTTAATGAAAGCTATCAAGTGTACCTCATAAAATATTTTTTGGAGATATTACAATACAAAGGGTTAAAGAAATTTTAGTAGTGACTTTTTTCTAATGTTGTGCAAATTTTTGCTTCAAGGTGTAAGGTGCAGAAGCGCTTTTTTTAAAACAGTTACAATAAAACATCACATTTGAAGTTTTAATTTTTTTTTATTTTTTGTTTAGTCAAAAAAGAAATCTACTAATGAACATAAAGTACTTGCTGCTAAAGAAAGAAACGAAAGGCTTTTATTTGGAGAAACCTACATGGAAAGCAGTGAAGATGATTTTGAAAACCTAGAAGGTTTACCGATTGGTTTTTACAATCTTAAAAAATACATTAGCTTTTTTATTAAATAATTTTTTAAGAAAAAACTATCAACTCGTTTCTCCGCGCAGCGGCCTTGCTCGTCAAGGTTCGTGTTTCGGAGTTATAGAGTTGAGAGAGGGTTATAACCACAAATAAGTAGCCTCCTCGTCTGTAGTGGCCTTCTCGGCCTTGAGGAGGTGAATTAAAATAAAAAATAAAAAAATTTGAAAAAGGTAAAACCGTAATCATTTTTTAATCAAAATAAAAATTAAAAAAAAAAAACCTTATTTTTCTAAGTTCCAATTAAGATGATTAAGTGCATTTTTATACCCTTTTGTTTATATAGCTTGTTATTTGAGAAATGTGGCATGCTGAAATTCACAGGTTTTAATAAAGTTTATATTTCGAAATTAATTTTGTGTTATTCTAGATGATTCAGATTTTGAAGCAGAAGATATGGACACAGAAATGCAAACAGAAACAATAAAAGAGAATCTACCTAAATTGAATTCTAAAAATCAACAAGACAGAGATCAGTTAAGTAATAAATATATTCCACCTGCGCTAAGAAATCAAGAAGATTCTGGAGAAGATTTTAAGAGAGAAAGATTAAAGAAACAAATGAAAGGTTTTTTAAACAGGTTACTTATTTAAAAATTTTTTTTTTTTTTATATTTACTTGGTAAGAAAATCTTTAAGTGAACAGGCAACCTTCACATTTGGGAGTTTTTGGAATTTAAAAGCGGGTAATAATATAAATGATGATATGTATCGGTTTTTACATCCATTTAAAACAATCATGACAACCATTTAAAACAACCATGACATTAATTTAAAACACCGCAACAATCAATTAAAACAATGTGATTTTCAATTAAAACAATCGTAAAAAAAGGTTTTCTTTATATTTTTTTTATTCGATTTTTTAAAAAAATTTAAAATTTTATTTTATTTAAAATATGTTTATTTTCCAATTGCTGTCGAGGTATGTCATCTGACCTAAGACACGCTTCGAAAAAGCTTTCGTAGTGTGTGTAATAGTTTTATAAGTTAACATTAGGAATAGATAAGCATGCCTCACGCATTCTTGAAATTAGTTCATTTCTCCCAGCTGGGTATTTCTTCGCACATTATTCTTAAGATAAAAAAAAATCTCTTCACGCAGATTCAAGAATGGTGAATATGGTGGCAAATATTTTATTTGAATGTTCTGAGCCCTCATCTCAACATTTTGATGGATTCTGACATTATCCATCACAAGGGTTAATTCTTCCTCTGTCCCCAAAACTCATACTCATAATATATTCTTGAAACAAAACTGTGTTGACTGACACACTGATAGCTTCGCACTGAATAATGTTTAAACCATTGACGGCCAATATCATCGAAACGTTACGTTGCCTATGATCGGGTTAGGTGTTACTCCTCTTCTTGCCCATGAATGACTGCGAAACATGTGTAAATTAAATGAACTTTCATCAATAAAAATGATATTTTGATAGGGATTAATAGGCGAGATTAAGGTATACCACCTAGCATATTGAATACGAAGATTTTTTTACATTATTGTTGTTTCTTTCATAAATTGGTCACGTAATTTTATATGTGTAACCAAGATTGGTCGCCCATCTCCAGACAGTTTAAATTGATACATTTACATTTAAAGCATATTTAATTTCAATTATAGTTGTCGTTGTGTTATCGTTTATAAGCTCTTCAATTCTTCTAATCTCTTCATTATAAATAACGTGACGAGTGCCACCTCTAGAACCAGGAAGTGTTGAATTTGTTTGATCTTAAAATTGATTGTATTGTGTTTCGATTAACTCTTGTTAATGATGAAGCTTCAGATTGAGTTTTTCCTTGATCAAGGACTAGATTTACAACAAGATCTCGCATGTTTTTGGAAACAGAATTTCGCGGCATGAAGATTCAGATTGAGTTTTTCGTGGCAATGAAGTTTCAGATTGAATTTTTCTTTGATCACCGACCAATCTCAAAACAAATTTTCGCATATTTTGGCTAACAGAATTTCGCTGCATGTTTTAATGAAAATCTAATATCCTCATGCGCTAAATATTTTATTAGGAAATCATGGTTATTTTAATTATCATCATGCATGTTTTAATTGAACATCATGGTTGTTTTGTCAATACAGTATGTGTATAAAAAATATGTAAAAAAATATGGTTTTGCATCCATTTAAAACAAACGTGACATCCATTCAAATTTAAAATAAATTCCATTAAATTAAAATAAATTAATATAATATTATTAAAAATAAATTTGTATAATATTAGATAAATAAATATATAAAAAAGACCTTTTTTTTTAAATAATATAGAATGTTGAGATTGCGCATGCGTTAAATGTTTTAAATGAAAATCACAATTGTTTTAATTGAAAATCACATTGTTTTAATTGATTGTCGCGATGTTTTAAATGAATGTCATGGTGTTTTGAATGGTAGTCATGATTGTTTTAAATGGATGTAAAAACCGTTAAGTAACAAAAAGTAAATATTATTTGGTATATTACTTAGTTAAAAACAACTAGGGCTTCTCAAATGGGATCCCGGGATCCCGGAGGTAAAAAACCATTCCGTTATCCCAGGATTTCAATGAAATTTCCCGGGAATCCCGGGAATTTTTTTAAACACATTTTTACTCAAATTTTGAGTAATAACATTTTTAATATCTTTACATTTGCAAAGATATTAAAAATATTATTACTCGAAATTTGAGTACTAATTACTTCCTTTTTCCTTTTATAATGAATTTCTATAAAAATTAGGAAGATATCTTATAGAGGGCAATTAAATCATCAATATTTTGCAGTTTTGGTTTGTGTCTAAGATTGATAAAATATTATTATTGAATTTGATTTATAAATAGATTTGATTTACTTTTATGTTGTAACTTACAGCATATAAAGCTTGAACAAACAAACCAAATCAATATAAAATAACCACAAACTAGTTACAAGTACTTGTACGTGCAAAAAAAGTAATTAGTTACGCATAAAAGTTGGTAGTTAGTAAGTAAAATAATTAGTTACGTTAAGCAAGTAGTTTGTATGTAAAAAGTGAAATAAGTGAAAACCAAGTAAGTGAAGTTTAAAATATATGTTTGGTAATTACAGCTAATTTTAAATAATTTAAGTAAATCTACTATCAGCATACTATTTCGGAATTTAATTGTAGGTAATATAGTTTTATATTTATATTTTAATCAATTTAATTATTAGGATAACAAATATAGCGCATCATGTCAAGTGGATCTAAGGCGTGGGAAAATTTGACAAAAGAAAAAAAACACAGAATCTGCCACTTGTAATATATATAAAACAACAATAATGTGCAAAGGATTTTTAACTATTGGTCTTCTTCGTCATTTAAAAAATCTTCACAAGGAAGTCGAAATTGAATTACAGAAAAAAAGACCAAAGGAAGACACAAATTTTAAAGTTAGAAATGCTCAACCTAAAATAACGTCATTTATAAAAAAGGAATCTATAGAAGAAATTGTTTCAAAATTAGCAGCTGTAGATGGTTTTTCTATGCTGTTGCAAAATCTGAATTTATAAGAAAATCTTTATCTGATAAAGGAATGATATTGCCAAAAAACCTTTCATATGTAATGAATTTGGTAAAAAGTCAATACCATCTAGCAAAAAAAGTAGTGGTTAAGGAAATGACTATGAAAATTCAAGGTGGCTCATGATTCTTTATTTCGATGGACGAATACACATCTTTAAAAAATGATCGTTATTTGAATTTAAATGTGCATTCATTAACTAGGTTTTGGAACTTGGGCATGGTTCAAATAGTTGGGTTGCTTCCAGCTGAAAAAATTATTGATGTGGTTGAAAATAAAGTATCCGAATTTAATTTATCTGCAAAAAAGCATATAATTTCAAGTGTAGCTAACGGTGCATCAGTTATGAAAAAATATGGAAGATTAAGCGGGATGAAACATCAACTTTATTATGCACATGGGCTACAGTTTGTGATGTTCTCTACAAAAAATCAGTGATTTCAAATTCATTGGGCAGTGAGTGTGCAATGCATCAAACAGTCAGAATTCTGATAAAAATAATAGTGAAGACGACGAGTCTGAAGAAATTGATTTTACAACTTCTGTGGAATTACAGTCAAGCCAAAACAATGATTTATTAAATTTACGAGACGTTGAGATCACTGATGAATTATTAGGCTGCATAAGTATAGCACAAACAATTCAAATGGTTTGGAGAATTGTACGAATGTTTCATAAATCACCACTCAAAAATGAAATTTTACAAAATATTTAAAAATTACAAAAATGAAATTTTACAAAAAACACGTAAAAGTTACATACAATAAAGAACTCAAGTTAATACTGGATGTAAAAAAAAGGCGGAATAGCTTTATTGCAATGTTAGAGCGATTTATTGCATTAAAAACATGTATATTAAAAGCATTGATAGATTTTAAACACAGCAATATTAACAATATTTTGGAGGAGGAATATTTAGTGGTTCAGACTGTAGTGACCGCGTTACAACCAATTAAATTATTATTTGAAAGACTTGGCCGATGCAATGCATCCCTACTTGATGCAGAGGGTGTATTAGTGTTTATATTTGATGTTTTGCGCAAAAATAAATATTGTTTTTCGGTTAAAATGCTGCAGTGTGTGCAACAGAGATTTGTTGAAAGAGGGAATAAAAATTTAGTTGGCTTGCTAAAATATTTAAATAGTCCATCAAATTATAAACACAAATTAAACATATATTCTTTGTTGAGGATTTTGATGGTGGTGGAAATTACGCTGAAATTGAAGAATTAAAACGCAGCAATTACAGGACTGAAACGTCAATTATGGCCGGACCAAATTTGAAGACAACATCTCAATCAACACTTCATCAAAAATTGGAAGCTGCCATTACAAATGTTAGTCAAATTGTGAGTCCAGAAAATGTGTTATGACGTTAAAAATATTACAAAAGAAATGGGTATTTTTGATGCAATGAAAAAGCGTACAAATAATTTAGACAAATTATATAATGCTCTTGTAACTATCCCACTGTTTTCAATCGATTCAGAAAGAGCTTTTTCTGTGGCAGGTCTTTTTATTAAGAAAATCTGTCATTGTTAATTTGATAGCACTTTTGACAATTTATGTTTTTTAAAAAATTATTTCAAAAGTTAATATATATTAAATATAATGTTATTGAAATTTATATTTGTTTTATTTTTGCAAAGTTTAAAAGGTAAAATTGCAAAGTTTAAAATCTCCTCCTACCTGCACATTGAAAACTATCTGTTTTTTATTGAAAAAATCCCAATCGATAACCCTGTCCCACCCCACCCCCTTAAGTCTAAAGAGTTCACCAAAGATTGTTGAACAAAAAATGTCTCATAGATTAATAAATTATTTTTAGTACAGCTTGCAAATTTGACATAAATTTGATTTTTAGAATATTTAGAATTGAGATCACATTTTTTTTTCATGAATGTCTACAAAATGATTTATCTGAAATAATGTTAAATATTAAGTATCAATAGTGTTAGACTAGGAATTATCAATTAGTGATGCTTCATTGATGTCTTGTAAGAGGTTTTAATGCTTTTTTTTAACCAAAAGATAAGATGGTGTAA